TTTAAAGTCGAGGTTTCATTTGCCCTTGGCGGCGTGACCGGAAGCATTTAGGATACCTTTCCTCGGCCCAGCAAACCCTAAAGCCTAAACCCTAAACCCCAAACCCGGCGGTTTAAAGTCGAGGTTTCATTTGCCCTTGGCGGCGTGACCGGAAGCATTTAGGATACCTTTCCTCGGCCCAGCAAACCCTAAAGCCTAAACCCTAAACCCTAAACCCTAAACCCTAAACCCTAAACTTCCAACCCGGGACTTCAGCGGCTTGAACGCAGGTTGAAAGCGGGTTTGATCCTCAACCCTTAGGTGTATAGGGTTTAGGGTTTAGGGTTTAGGGTTTAGGGTTAGTCCCAAGCCCTGAACCCTAAGCTTTGGGTGTTGAGGGGAATTGGGATGGGTTGAGCCTGTGTGGCTTGCAGGCTGTGAATCCTGATGCCATCTACGTGCTGAAGTGCGTGAGTGCACCCACGACTGCGGAAGACTCATTGCCCGGTGGAGCAGATGGGTTTAGGGTTTAGGGTTTAGGGTTTAGGGTTGGCTTATGGTCCATGCGAGTACACTCTCCTGGAGATTCTAGCAGGATAGCGTTTATAGGGTTTAGGGTTTAGGGTACAGGGATTTCAGGCTGCCGAGTGGTCCATCGTGGCTGCAGGTTCTGAACAAGTAGGGTCCTAAACCCTGAACCCTAAACCCTGTAGGGGGTCCTTGTATCAAGAGCCCGCTTCAAAAAAACAAGAGGTACAGCAAGGGTCGATGGGTGTAGTGGTCTGGAGGTTGCAGTTTATGGTTTAGGGTTAAGGGCTTAGGGTTTCTAGTTAGAGTTGAGGGTTTAGGTTTGGGGGTTTTGCGTAGGTTCACGGGTTCATTCGGCGTTTCAGGTCTTCGGGCTGTATTGCTGTGAGTTTTTAGGATTCAGGATGGTTTGGGGGCTTAATTGAAGAAGAGACCCTAAACCCTAAACCCTAAACCCTTGAATCCCCCACCCCCCCTCTTGCGGCAGCTGGCGCGCGACTGCGGCTCACTAGGAGGAGATGTAGTATGCATCCAAATCGGGCCTTGGTCAGGGTTTAGGGTTTAGGGTTTAGGGTTTAGGGTTTAGGGTTTAGGGTTTAGGGTTTAGGGTTTAGGGTTTAGGGTTTAGGGGTAGGGCTTAAGGGCTTGGTTGAGCGTTACTTTGTTGGGGGGAAACAATGAGTTGAAGTGCGCCGGGCTACACGTCCGGGCCGTTCGGGGGCTTCTGACTCAGGGGCGCAAGATTGCCGCGGGAATGCTCCGGGAAAGCAGTGGATGAACAAGCCCCAACCCGAGGCAACCAACAGGACGATATCGCGAGGTCTTGGGTTTTAAGGCAAAATCAACCCTAAACCCTAAACCCTAAACCCGAGACCCAGCGACCCTGCCACCTAGAGTCATAAACTCTACAGGCCACGAACCGAAAACCCGATATATTTCACCAGCAGTAGACTGCAGAGAACCCAACAACTTAAGTTCTTCTAGCCTGGGTGTTTCGGGGGGTCCGAGGCTTCAGGCCCTGAACTCCCATCCGGAGCTGCTGTGAGTGGCCTGTGTTGTGTATCCTGTGCGCAGCAACCCCACTCCGGGCCCTGGATTTGGGGGTTGAGCCCCCGGACGGCTAAACCCTAAACCCTGAACCCTGAACCCTGAACCCTGAACCCTAAACCCTAAACCCTAAACCCTAAACCCTAAACCCTAAACCCTAAACCCTAAACCCTAAACCCTAAACCCTAAACCCTAAACCCTAAACCCTAAACCCTCTCATGTGCGCGCGGAAGCGCACTGAGGCCCCTGGCCCTCCGGGGCTGTCCAAGAGGGCAGTACGCCGATCCCCATGCCAGGCCTGGGCAAGATAGAAGTTTAGGGTTTAGGGTTTAGGGTTTAGGGTTTGGGGTTTGGGGTTTAGGGTTTGGGGTTTAGGGTTTAGGGTTAAGGAGTTTAGGGTTTAGGGTTAAGGAGTTTAGGGTTTAGGGTTTAGGGTTAAGGGTTTAGGGTTTGGGGTTGAGGGTGGGTTTTTTGGGTTTGGGCTGTTGGGCTGTTGGGCTTTTGGGCTTTTGGGCTTTTGGGCTTTTGGGCTCTTGGGCTTTTGGGCTTTTGGGCTCTTGGGCTTTTAGGCTTTTGGGCTTTTGGGCTTTTGGGGCTTTTGGGCTTTTGGGCTTTTGGGCTTTTGAGCTTTTGAGCTTTTGGGATTGTTGGGTTCTTGGGTTTTGGGTTTTTGGGTGTTTGGCTTTTGGGTTGTTGGGTTGTGAGTTTTTGGGTTTGGGGTTTAGGGTTTAGTGTTTAGGGCTGCGATTGAAGGTTTAGGCCTATGCTTGTGGGGTTTAAGAATTAGGCATAGGATTTTGGGACTACCAAGCCAGGCTCTCGGGAGTTCTGTGAGGCATCGGGGCGACAGCATGCAGATTTGGCTGCAGGACTGTAAGATTGGATTGGGCCTGTTCTAGGGGGGCGTTGTTACGAAGGCTCGATATTGGCGCACGAAGTTCCGAGGATGTGATGCTGCTGTGTGCCTTGAGAAGGTCGACAGCTGAGTCCACCACCCAAAAGGATGCAACGCTGCCGAGTATGAGTGCAAGGCAGCACATGTACCTGGCAGCAATCGGTACAACCCGCTCCCATGTCATCAAGCTAAGTATCACTTGTTCTTCCAGCACTCGCGGCACTTCAACTCAAGAGATCGATTTTGCGCTTTGCTTGGAGGCCGGAAACGTGTAGCGGAGCGAGCGGGCAAGGATTGCTACTTCATTTCGCTCAGCAGAGGACCAGAAACGAAATATTAGCAACCAGGCTGCCAGGCTACTTTCACTGACATGCTCACCACAACCCGGACTCTGACAAGTGTACCATGCGATAGCTCAACTGTCGACGGTAATCTGATTAATTCGCTTGAAGAGGAAACTTTCGACAGGGCTTGATTGCGCAAGTACTAGGTGCACGCAGACTATGCCGGGCTTGAGGTACAGTGAACTCCAACTTCCCTTTGGTGTTCCTTCTATAGGGTCTGGGGGGGGGGGGTATGGAGGTTCCAACTTCTTGGGGTTTACGGTGTGTGAAAGCACAAGCAAACCGCGCGGCACGAGATTCCGAGCGTGCGCAATGTGCAGCAACGCTACAACATTGCGTGCCTGAACCTGGCAATGCCAGGATTAAACCAGGTGCCCGGCAAAAGCTACACCGTGTGCTGTCGCAGGATCCTTGTCATAAACAGGGCACAGATCTCCTGCAGACAGCGCCTTCCTGCGTCTGTCAGACGAGTCCGTGCCAGCCCAAGGGCGGTGGCCGGTGTCATTGATCGCGGGCGTTGCAAGTTGTGTCCTTGCCTGTTGTTGCCATTGCTATGCATCTTGCCCTGACGAAGCTTATCGATCTGGTGTGTTGTGTGGTTGTGTGTGGTTGTTGTGTGTTGGTAGTTGTGTGTGTGGTTGTGTGTGGTTGTGTGTGGTTGTTGTGTGTTGGTAGTTGTGTGTGTGGTTGTGTGTGGTTGTGTGTGGCTGTGTGTGGTTGTGTGTGGTTGTGTGTGGTTGTGTGTGGTTGTGTGTGGTTGTGTGTGGTTGTGTGTGGTTGTGTGTGGTGGTGTGTGATTGTGTGTGGTTGTGTGTGGTTGTGTGTGGTGGTGTGTGATTGTGTATGGTTGTGTGTGGTTGTGTGTGGTTGTGTGTGGTTGCGTGTGGTTGCGTGTGTGTGTGTGTGTCTCTGTGTGTGTGTGTTGTGTGTGTGTGTGTGTGTGTGTGTGTGTGGTGTGTGTGTGTGTGGTGTGTGTGTGTGTGTGGTGTTGGTGTGGGTGTGTGTGTGTGTGTGTGTGTGGTGTGTGTGTGTGTGTGTGTGTGTGTGTGTGTGGTGGTGTGTGGTGTGGTTTGTGTGTGGTTGTGTGCGTGTGGTTGTGTGCGTGTGGTGTGTGTTTGCGTGTGGTGCGTGTGCGTGTGTGTGTGCGTGTGTGCTCGTGTGCGTGTGTCGTGCGTGTGCGGTGCGTGTGCTCGTGCGCGCGTGCGCGCGCACGCGCGGCGTGTTGTGTTGTGTGTGTGTGTGTGTGTGTGGTGTGTGTGTGTGTGTGTGTGTGTGTGTGGTGTGTGTGGTGTGTGTTGTGTGTGTGTGTGTGTGGGTGTGTGTGTGTGTTGTGTGTGTGTGTGGTGTGTGTGTGCGTGGGTGTGCGTGTGCGTGTGCGTGGTGCGTTGTTGTGTGCGTGTGCGTGTGTGGTGTTGTGTGTGTGTGTGTGTGTGTGTGTGTGTGTGTGTGTGTGTGTGGTGTGTGTGTGTGTGTGTGTGTGTGGTGTGTGTGTGCGTGTGCGTGTGCGTGTGCGTGTGAGTGTGTGTGTGTGTGCGTGTGCGTGTGTGTGTTGTGTTGTTTGGTGTGTGTGTGTGGGTTGTGGTGTGTGTGGTTGTGTGTGTGTGTGTGTGTGCGTGTGGTGTGTTGTGGGTGTGCGTGTGTGTGCGTGTGCGTGTGCGTGTGTGTGTGGTTGTGCGTGTGCGTGTGGTTGGTGGGTGTGTGGTGGTGCGTGTGCGTGTGCGTGCGGTGTGCGTGTGTGTGTCTGTGGGTTGTGCGTGTGAGTTGCGTGGTGATGTGGTTGCGTGTGTGTGTGTGTGGTGGTGTGTGTGTGTGTGTGGGTGTTGTGTGTGTGTGTGTGTGTGGTGTGTGTGTGTGTGTGTGTGTGGTGTGTGTGTGTTGGTGTGCGTGCGTGTGCTTGTGATCCTATGTGTGTTGTGGTGTTGTGTGTGTGTGTTGCGTGTCGTGTTTTGTTTGTTTGTTTGTGTGTGGTGCGTGGGTGTGAAATTATAATCACACTTTTCCTCCCCAGATGAGCCCTACTCATGATCTGCCACTTTGGTGGCTCAAGCAACTTTGCCCACCTGCAGCAGAAAGGCCGAGGCACTTAGGAACTTTGAGTGTTGAGGTTGGCTGAGGTTGCACGATCACTTTAGGGTTGTTTGTGTAGACTTTGGCTACCTCGCAATTTCGCATGGTAGCGGAGCTGAAAGCTCTAGGACTTTGGTAGAATGGCAGCTCTAGGAGAAGATGGTGACTTTGCAGGAAAGCTTAGGCTTCCTCTCCCAGACAACTTTTCCGGTCAGCCTGCAGACTGGGAAGAATGGTCATGGAACTTTAAAGCGTACATTTCGATGTTCGAAGCAGGCGCAGTGACTTTGCTCGACAATGCCGAAGCTTTGACAACCGAGTTCACAGATGCACACCTTGAAGTAACTTTGGACACAGGTGATGTGGATGTTGATGCAACGCGTAGTCGTGTACTTTTCAGTCGCAAGTTGCACTATCTACTTTCTCAGCTTGTGAAGGATTCGGCGAAACTTGTCGTTCGTCAGAACGTCGGGTCGAATGGCTTTGAGACCTGGAGAAGACTTTTCAACAAGTTTGCCTTGCCTGATGCAACCAGGTCGACAGCTTTGCTCACGCAACTTTTGGATTTCAGGTTTGGTCCAAACACGTTTGAGCAGGACTTTAACGTTTGGGAAACAATCAAGGTGAAGTACGAGAAACAGGCAGGTCAAGCTTTGCCAGATGGTGTTTTGGTAGCTACTTTGCTGAACAAGACAACAGGAGCTTTGCAGCAGCATCTTCGCTTGAACACCAAAACTTTGCAAACGTATGAGCAGGTTCGCGAGGTCATCTTGGAGTACTACAGGTCTAGACTTTTGGTGAATCCATTAGCACAGACCTCTGCCTCGGCCACTTTCGCAGGAGGCGGACAAGCGCCCATGGACATTGGGTATCTAGGAAAGGGCAAAGGAAAGAAAGGAAAAGGAAAAGGAAAGGGCAAAGGAAAGAAAGGAAAAGGAAAGGACTTTGGTCCCATGAAAGGCAAAGGAAAAGGCAAGAAAGGCCCCCGCTGGAACTTTTTCGGAAGTTTGAAAGGGAAAAGCAAAGGCAAAGGAAAGAACTTTGGTTCGTTGGCGGGTGCTTCGGCATCTTCGAGTGCCTTGTGCTGGACATGTGGTAAGTCAGGTCACTTTGCTAGCAAGTGTCCGCTGAACAGAGTGAATGCTGTTGAGGGAGAAGAGAGTGAACTTTACGGTCTTCAGGAAGAAGAGTCTTACTTTGGTGAGGCCCCTTGGGACGACTGGTCTGAGTGGACAGTCGGAGCACTTTTCGATGAGAGTTGGGAGTCATGGGATGACTCACTTTGGGATTCCTCGTGGGATTCCTGGGACTGGTATTCGTATCAGGACTTTGCAGGTTGGAATGAGTGGTGGCCTGAAGCCACCTCCTCAAAGGAGACTTTGTCACCGCAACAGCCTCAGAAGCCTAAGGAAGAGTCAACTTTGCAGCATGGAGCTCAGCAGGCTCCAGTTTCAGCTGTCACTGTGACAGCCCCTCCAGGACTTTCCAAGGCAGCGCCCAAACCTAAGGCCAAGAGCTCACTTTCCCCGAGCTCGTTCTTGATGTCGGCACTCGTGCTTGGCAACTTTGGTGTTAGTCAGTCGTTTGGTTTTGAAGGCATGTTGACTGGTGATGTTGACTTTTCGTATGGCGAGAAGCGTGCGACCTTTTCGTCGGTTGGCATGGCGCCGTTGGAAACCTTTTCGCTGAACCGAAACGACTCGGTGCCTCAGAAACTTTTCAGTGTGTACGATCTTGGAGTGTCGAACCTGAACACAACATTCCGGGATCATGCTTTGGAGGAACATTTGGTTGCAGCCACCTTTGACGAGAATGAGCCCTGGATACTTTTTGATTCAGGAGCAGCGACCCATTGCTGTCCTCAGGACTTTGCTTCGGAGTGGCCGCTTTTGCCACTTTCAGGGAAGCCACCGCCTTTGAGATCCATTTCGGGTCAACCCTTGACGGTTTACGGTAGAAGGCTTGTGAAGCTTGACTTTGACGGTCAGCCTTGCTTTCTTCACTTTTACGTATGCGACGTACCGTACTGTGTGGTTTCGGTTGGAAGACTTTTGAGACAAGGCTTTCAAGTGACGATGACAAGAGAGTCTCAGGTACTTTCAACCCCTGATGGAAACCAAGTTCCAATAATCAGACAAGGGTCACTTTTGTTCCTTCGGCCTACTTTGGGAGCTTTCAACAAGGATGAGTTTGTTGAAGTTTGCAACCTTCTTCACGACTCCAATGAACAAGGTACTTTGATTGCTCCAACCCAGTTTAACCCCGTTTACTACAATGCTGATCGTTGGGAACTTTCGGGTAACACCCTCACAAGAATCCACAAAAGATCTAGAGCGACTTTCTTTTCTCCTGAAGGGACGAAAGATAGGCCAGTTGAGCTCGAGTCCTTAGCTGATGAGCGTGTCACTTACCTTACGTACGAAGATGGCAGAAAAGAAACTTTGCATGATAACTGGCGAACGTCTAAAGATCCCAAAGGGAAGTCTTCTGGACGCTTTGTTGGTCGTACTGTCTTTAAACTTTCCTCCAAATCCACGGGTCGTAGACTCGCTGGCAAGCAGTCAACTTTTCCCCAACCTGTCCCAAAAGCCCTTGCACAACCGCAAGACACTTTAGCAGAAAAGCCTAGACCACCAAAGGACCATTCCGCAGAGGACACTTTCCGTCTGCGTTTGGCGCAGGCCGCTTCGGGCACTTTGCCTGACTTCCAGAAGGCCCTGGTGGAACAGCTTTCGGAGAAGGACCCTGCAACTGGAGAAGCCTTCACGCACGACCGTTGGCTGAACTTTCAGTTGTTCTGGGTTCGTGTGCACTACGTGTCTCGGAACACTTTGTATGTGCCAGAAGACCTACACTTTGAAGAAGAATTGGGCAATGCGCGCATGACTTTGATCATGCGTCCTGATGCAGAGCCAACGTGGCACTTTGACTTGTGGCGCAAATACGGCACGCAGGAAGTGACGCAAGACTTTGTTGGCGCTACTTGCTTTGAGAAGTTGCCACTTGAAGCTTTTGAAGCAGAGCCAGCTCAGCCGGAGTACTTGGCTCAGAGGCCTAAGGGCTTGAAGCAGCCCGGCGAGCCAACTTTGACAGAGAGGCTGGAGCATGAGCTCACTCACTTGCCGTTCAAGCCGTGGTGTGAAATTTGTTTGAAAGCTAAGAGCAGGCAGGCTCACAGTAAGAAACTTTCGTTGAGACAGCCCGTCCTGCAGATGGACTTTAGCTTTCTTTCAGATAAGCCTGGTGAGGAACAGGTCACCATACTTAACGTTGTCGATGTTCTCTCGAACATGGCACTTTCAGTGGTGATTCCCACAAAGGCTCGCACACCGTACTCCCATACAGAGTTGAGACGCTTTGTTCTAGAAACCGGACGTACTTTCGGAATCTTGCAATGCGACCCAGAGCCAGCGTTGAAAGCCATCGCGGAAGCTGTAACAGGCGAAGTCGGTGGACTTTCCTTGCGGAGTACCCCGACAGGCTGGAAGCAAGCTCAGGGTTCCGTTGGAAACATGCAAGCAACTTTGTATGGACAGATCAAGGCTTTGCGGCTTGAGCTTTTGCAGCGTTACCAAGTTGATCTGTCGGTTCACTCAGCGCTCTTTACTTGGCTTGTGCGCCACGCGCAGTGGCTTGTGAACCGTTACCTTTGCAACGCTGCCGGCACTACTGCTTTTGAGAGACGCTGGGGAAAGCGGTACAACGGCTTCATATGCCGCTTTGGAGAGACCGTACTTTTCCGAAAACAGCGTGTCAACAAAGGCAAGCCGGCTTTTGAGCGTGGCATTTGGCTTGGTAAAGACACAGAGTCGGAGCAACACTTTGTCGCTGACTCTCGTGGGGTTTACAAGACGCGTTCCTTGAAACGCCTCCCCCCCACCCAGCAGTCTGACGCGGCACTTTTGCAGTCGGTTACCGCGCGTCCTTGGGACCCAACCGGTGCAAAGGTGGAAACGGACTCCTTCATCTTTCCGATGCAGCAGTCCGAGGAGGCGACAAACCCAGCTTTGCCACCGTCTGGGCAACTTTCTGCTCCTCCTGAAAAAGGCAATGATGTGCCAAACTATGAACTTTCAGACCCAGAGTTGGAAGAAGCTTTGGGCTTAGATGGCACAGAGCCTGTTCCGGCTCGTGACGATCTTTCGGACCTTCCGGAAGATTACTTTTCTGATGTAGAGCAAGAACCGCCCTTGCCTCCGCCTGAGTTTGAGCCTCCACGCTTGACTTTGGATGAGCAAACTGCAAATGCAGCGCAAGCAAGGTCGAGTACAGACGCAGCTTTGCCTCAGCCCCCTGGTTCGAGGCCGCGACTTTCTGACGAGTCGCCCGCGTCACCGACCAAGCGTAGCACAGAGACTTTTGACGTTGGAACGACTAAGGTGCAGAGGATCAACGCGGTGACTTTCTACAGCGGTAGGAAGCGCATACCCAAGCCACTTTGTTACCTTCGTGTTGCTGCAGTCACAACCAAGAACGACCTTGAAGTTCCTGTAGCAATAAACCAGGATGAAAGAGAACTTTTGCTGATGAAGACCCTGGAAAACCCGTACTTGTGGTATGAAACCGAGTTTCCGCTCGTTGAAGAAGTAGAAGGGATGAAAAAGGAGATGAAGTCTATGACGACTTTCGATGTTTTCGAAGAAGTTCACTACAAGGACATTCCCCAAGCACTTTTAGACAAGGTCATTTCGACGCGGTGGGTTAAGGTCCGCAAGTCCGACGGCACTGTGCGCTGTCGACTTGTAGTTCGAGGCTACACGCAAGAAGTCAATGACAAGGATGAGACTTTCGCCTCGACGCCTTCGCTCACCACCTTGAAGCTTTTGCTTACTTTGGCTGTAGCCAGAGGATGGCACATAGCAGTGGGTGACATTTCCACAGCTTTCTTGCACGCTGCTGTGGATGATGACTTTTACGTCATACCCCCGCTCGAGTTTTACCCAGATGGCTGCACGCTTTGGAAGTTGAAGAAGGCGCTTTATGGTCTTAAGCACTCTCCAAAGCTTTGGCAAGAGCACTTTGCGTCAGTCATGAAGAAGAATGGCTTTCGCAGGGTCAAGTCAGACCCAAACCTTTATGTGCATGAGACCAAGCAACTTTACGTGCTTGCTTATGTTGACGACCTCATGTTCTTTGGTTCAAAACCAGATGTTGAACTTTCGGTCGCGGAGTTGCAGAAAGACCTGTTGTTGAAGATGACAGGCACTTTGGACGAAGGTCAATCGGTGACTTTCCTTGGCCGTGAGCTTCAAAGAACGAACGACGCCGTACTTGTTGGCATGAACCCTGCGTACATTGATCGTATGCTTGAGACGGCAGGACTTTCAGGTTGTAAGCCAGTCCTTGCTCCGGGCACAGACACTTTGCGAAAGCAGTTGAATGTTGAGCCTCTGGACGCGGAAGCGCACAAGCGCTACCGGCGCATCGTAGGCCAACTTTTGTGGCTTTCGAGTGTACGCCCAGACATCATGTATGCAGTAAAGGAGCTCAGTCGAGGACTTTCTGCCCCGACCTCAGAGCATGAAGCCAAGGCCAAGCACCTTTTGAAGTACCTTGCTGGTACGAAGAACTTTTCGCAACGTCTTCAACCTACCCTACAACTTTCCCCACAACACAAAGCCATAGACATCAACATTTACGTAGATTCCGATTGGGCTGGCTGCGCAGACAGTCGTAGATCCACTTCGGGTGTGTCACTTTTCATGTTGGGTGCGAACATTTTGTCGCACAGTAGGACGCAAGCTACGGTAGCACTTTCGAGTGGGGAAGCCGAGAACCGCTGATGCACTTTTCCTGAAGTCTCTGATCGAGGAGGCGAAACTTTTCCCGAAAGCAAACCTTTGTATCTGGACCGACTCCAACGTTGGTAAAAGCATAGTTTCGCGCTTTGGGGCATCCCGTAAGACGAAGCACGTGGAGCTTCGCTTTCTTTACGTTCAAGAACTTGTTGCCTCAGGTATGGTGCGTGTAAAGAAAGTGTTGGGAACTTTGAACCCAGCTGATATCTTGACGAAGTATGTTCCCAAAGAAACTTTGCACAGGCATCTGCCTACTTTTGGTTTTCCACTTTGAGAAAGACAGAAAGAAGAGAGAGTGTGAGAGGAGAGAAACACGTACTTTTGCGGACATGTCACTCTTGGTGTGTGTGTACAGTCATGTCACTTTTCATGTCTTCCATGTCACTTGTGCTGTCTTGTGCGGACATGTCACTTTTGCAGACATGTACTTTGCAGTGCTGTGCAGTGCAGACGTGTACTTTGCAGTCATGTTCAGTCATGTCACTTTCGAGCGCATCCGGCGCACTCGGCTCGCGTACGCGCGCGCAACCTTTTCAGTTTTCAGGCACGAAACCTTCGCCGCCACGCGCGAACGCGCGCACTTTCTCCACGCGAACTCGCGCTGTTCAGGCGCATTTTAACTTTAGTCTTTTAATGTACATAAATTCGACCCCAGCCAACTTTGACCTTGCGGGGTGTTCGGGGTTTCTTTGGCGTTTGTGGTTTACTTTGCCTCGCGCCCCTCTGGTGCTTCTCTCGAAACACTTTGATGCTCTTGTGCGCCCGCGCGCCATGGCACTTTAAAGGTGTGAGACGTCCAGAGACAGTTCTCGCAACTTTGCACGCGGTGGAGCCGCGCAGCAGACTTTGAGGCGATGGATCGCTTTACACCAGCTCAGAGCCGTGACGTGGACTTTAGCACGTATCGCACGTGGCTGAGTCTGCAGCTGGTTCTTGAAACCTTGTGGAATGGGTTGCAGAAGGAGCAACTTTATCTGCCACTTTCATCGCCGGCGGAAATGTTTCAGAAGCTTTATCCTTTGATCCAGTATGCGGCCACTTTGGGACTTTATACACCTCCTGAGTTGGAGGTGCTGCAGAGGACTTTTGTGGGGTTCTGGACACCGGAACGCCCCACTTTTCGGCAGGATTGGGTTCCTTTTCAGCTGTGGCTTACTCTACCTACAGGACTTTGGTTGACGGTTGCATCTGCAGCTCAGAGGTCAGGAAACTTTGTCTTGCCATCTGCAGCAATGGTGGGAACTATGGTGGATTGCCTGAACCTCACTTTGTCTCCGAGATCGTCACTTTTATTTTGGTCATTTGGACTGTCTATCTCCTTGCAACAGGGACTTGATCGTGTGACTTTTATGCCAGGAGAGCAGTTGATCACGATTGGAGTCCGACTTTTGCTACAAGACTTTACTCGGTTAATCACCATCAATGGAAATCGTCTATGGAATAGGCGATATGTGGATTACTTTCTCAAAGTTCAGAGCCTGAACTTTATGTGGGAGCCTACTTGCCGAACGATTGTCACTTTGTTGCACCGCATTCACCCGTACGAGCTTTGTGACAATCTCAACACCTACTTTGACAGGCCTGACTGCAGGCACTCGCGCCTTATGCACCTCCCACTTTTATCTCGGCTGTACCAAGAGCTCTCAAACTTTCCAGACGAGGGCGTTGCGCCGATGCACTTGGATATCCCCACTTTGCGTCGTGGCTCCAGGATGTGAAGGAATGTGCCACTTTTCGAGTCGCTGCATTTCGATATGCCGACTTTGGGCACTTTGGTATTTCAGACAGCCAGAATCGCTGCACTTTGGGCCGATTCATAATACCTTTCGCAAGCACCACAACTTTGAAGAGCACAACGATCTTTTTAACAGCCACTTTGAAGATGGCAGCTTTTGCGAATCAGCTGATTCCCCCCGACTTTCGAGTAAAACATTTCTTCGAACTTTGTTTGCTGATATTGTGGTTCGTACTTTGAAGCGGGTGTGTGATTGAGTGTGGACGAAAGTTAAAGCAACTTTAGTCCAAGGAGGCGTGTGAAATTATAATCACACTTTTCCTCCCCAGATGAGCCCTACTCATGATCTGCCACTTTGGTGGCTCAAGCACAACTTTGCCCAGAGAGAAAAGGCCGAGGCATCATAGGAACTTTGCAGTTCAAGGAGTTGAGGTTGGCTGAGGTTGCACGATCACTTTAGGGTTGTTTGTGTAGACTTTGGCTACCTCGCAATTTCGCAGTGGGTGCGTGTGTGTATGTGTTTGTGTGTGTGTGTGTGTGTGTGTGGTTGTGTGTGGTTGTGTGTGATTGTGTGTGGTTGTGTGCGGTTGTGTGTGGTTGTGTCTGGTTGTGTGTGTTATAATATATACATACATATATATATATATATGTGTGTATATGTATATGTGTGTACGCACATATACATATCTTACATATGTACACATCAAGAAGACTACAGCAAGACGCCTCAATCCGAAACCCTTTAATTCTGGTCGGCCCAGAAACCCTAAACCCTAAACCCTAAACCCAAGTCCGGAACAGTCTTTGGCAAACTTTGCCCCTTCCAGGCCCGTACATGCTAAGCAGCCCGAAGCTCCGAAAGCAACCGGGCAAACTCAACAGCATGTAGGGTTTAGGGTTTAGGGTTTAGGGTTTAGGGTTTAGGGTTTAGGGTTTAGGGTTTAGGGTTTAGGGTCTAGGGTTTAGGGTTAGGGAGCCTTTAACCTGGAGTCCAAAAGCCCTGGAGAATGTGTCAGTGAGCACCAGCAAAAGCCGAAGAAGTTGGACACATATTCTCCTGCTGCTTCAGCCTGAAGGCGGATGCAGTCCCCAGGGATGTGACGGTATCTTGGGGTGATCAGAAGCTGGGGTCTACTAGGAATTTTAGGCTTTCGGGTACGGGATGTACTATTAAGAAATGAGGTTTAGGGTTTAGGGTTTAGTGTTGAGGGTTGAGGGTTTAGGGTTTAGGGGTTAGGGTTTAGGGTTTAGGGTTTAGGGTTTAGGGTGTGGGGTGTAGGGTCTAGGGTTTAGGTGGTTCTTTAAGCTTCAGCCCAAGACGCAAACAAGAAAACGTCAGAGGAGCCTGGAATCTGAGCCCCAATCCCTGCACTGAGCACCAGCTCAAGAAGCTCTACGATTGAAGGTTTAGGGTTTAGGGTTTAGGGTTTAGGGTTTAGGGTTTAGGGTTTAGGGTTTAGGGTTTAGGAACCCTGTGCAGGTAGTCTCGACACAAAGAAAGGCGGCAACAGGGTTTGGGGTTTGGGGAGCTGCTTCTGTTTTAGCTATCCAAGATGCCTGTTGAGACAAGCCCCGGATGCTCCAAACACTCACGAACCCCAGCATGCGCTTTAAAACCTTCGGGTGTGGAGTTTACCTTAAAAAGCCCAAACCTGCCTTTGCTTCCAGGCTACTGGAAATGCGCTTTATAGAACTCTTAGGAAAGCTACCAATGTTTTTGGGTCCTTATGGTCGGATTTTCAGGTGATTCGTTTATGGCATCCTTGTCGGAGGGTTTGGAAGTCTACTAGGAGGGGTCAGGGGCTTAGGGTTTAGGGTTTAGGGTTTAGGGTTAGGGGTCAGGGTTTAGGGTTCAGGTGGTTCTTTCCAGGTGGGAAGGTCTTAGGGAGTTAGCGGCTTCGAGCTTTGGACTTCTTAGAAAGCCAGTGGCCAGAAACCCTAAACCCTCAATTCTGCCGTTTGCCGATGGCAGACGGGACCCAAAGACAGGGTTTAGGGTTTAGGGTTTAGGGTTTAGGGTTTAGGGTTTAGGGTTTAGGGTTTAGGGTTTAGGGTTTAGGGTTTAGGGGCTGGGCATCGTAGAACCCATACTCCCCTTCGAGTCCCGCTTGGGTGTACACTGTGGAAACCCCAAACCCCTAAACCCTAAACCCCAAACCCCAAACCCTAAACCCTAAACCCTAAACCCTAAACCCTAAACCCTAAACCCCCAAACCCAAACCCTAAACTTCCCTAAGCCCTAAACCCTAAACTTCCCTAAACTTCCCTAAGCCCTAAAGCCTAAACCCTAAGCAGTTCCTAAGAGGACTAGGGCTGCGGGTCTAGGATAGCCCTTACAAAACCGTCTGCAAACAAATTCCCAAATATGATCCTCTTACACCCAATAACTTGGTTGTGCTCGACAATGATTTTATGAACAAGTTCCCGTATAAGGAAAGCAGGGAAAAGAAACAATATCCCAAAGCACAACACAGAGAAGGGATAAACGTAGAATCCTTAACCCAAACCCTGATTAAACCGAACGCGTCCCATGCGCCTGTGACACTGCTATGGAGCGAGCTCCAGCCTTGAGCATACAGGCCCTCAACCCTAAACCCTAAACCCTAAACCCTAAACCCTAAACCCTAAACCCTAAACCCTAAACCCTAAACCCTAAACCCTAAACCCTAAACCCTAAACCCTAAACCCTAGCCCTAAACCCTAAACCCTGAAACCCAAGCCCCATGACAGGAATCGAAAACCCCTAGCCCTAAAGCCTCCGCAGCCGTCCTACCCTGCAATTCCGGTTGTTTAGGTTGTTGGGGGGTATAGGTTTAGGGTTGAGGGTTTAGGGTTTTAATCCCAAACCTTCCCTTTTAGAAGGTATCTGGTGGTTATGATTTGCTAAAGCCTAAACCCTGAACTTTAAACCCCAGAGCCTATCAGCCACTAATTGCTAAAGAACCCCCAAAGATCAAATATTCTTCCTTATTAAGGATAATATAAGGATTATCTTTTTTTTTGTTGATCTTTTGGGGTTCTTCAGCAAACAGCAGTCAGTGGTTCTTGGAGTGGAACGGATCATATTTGGGGATAGGGAATGGAGGGGACTCGATGCAATCGACAGCGGAAGCTAGTAACCCAGAAGCATCAAGGGTTCAGCTAGTCATGATTTTAGGGTTTAGGGTTTAGGGTTTAGGGTTTAGGGTTACTCTACCCCCATTCTTGTCTTTCGGAGGGTTTTTAGGGTCCGGGTGTTTCAGGCTTAGAG